ACAGGGTCCTTCTATGCAGTTCAGGCTGGCCTTGAGCTCACTTTGTAGCCCAGGCTGGCCTGAAACTCGCAGTAATCCTCTTGTCTCAGCGGCCCTAGTGCCGGGATTACAGGTGTGCACCACCACACCAGGCTTTATTGCCTTAATTTCTATTGAGATTTTTTTTAAAGGTTTTTTTAGGCCATTTAGATTTGACAGACATAAGATTATTTGTACCAAGAGACTAATACCCGCTATCACCATTTCTGAAAGGAGGTTTGTTGTTGGGTTTTTTGTTTTTTGTTTTGTTTTGTTTTTCTCCAGTACCGGGAATCGAACTCACGACCTTGCACTTGCCAGGCAGGCACTGTGCCACTGAGCTAAATCCCCAGCCCCTGAAAGGAGGTTTGGATAAGGAGAAGTGAGGTGGAAGGAGGACGTGAGAAGGGCCCCGCAGAGGTGAGTGAGGGGACCTTAGAGCTCCCCGCCGCAGCTGGCCCTGGCGCTGGTCTCATCCACTTTGTTCCCTTCCCCGCGGCTGGAGTCCCAAGCCCTTGGAAAGACTGCGTTAAAATCTAGACTGAGGAAGGCTTTTTCTGGCCCTGAGGTTATGGGCTCTTTTGATTCAGGACTAGGAAACCAGTGGTTGTTGTGAGAAATGTCTGTCCCTATGAGGGTGTTTGGGAAATTTAGGGGGACTTTTGATTGTCACAATGAGTGGGGGTTGACATTTCTGGCATTAGTGGGCCAGAGCAGGGATGCACTCCTCCTTTCAACATGTGGGACCATCCTCATCAACAAAGAATGTCCCCCGTCCACCTCCACACCACTCCCGAGTCCCGCCGGACAGTTATATGGCAGAAAGCCTACTTATAAAGACTGAGCCTGAAATCTCTGTATTCTGTATAATCAAAGAGGGCTTTGTCACAGGTTTATACTCATTTTTCCAGGAACATAAACTACTATTAAAATGGAGTTGTTTGGGAAGTGTGTGTGTGTTTGTGTGCGTGTATGTGTGTGTGAATGTGTGTGTAGTTTGTTTGTTGTTTTGTTATGTTGATTGTTTTTGCAGTATTAGGGATTGAACGCAGAGCCATTGCACTGAACTACATCTCCAGCCCTTTGTTTTCTTTTATATTTTATTTTGAAACAGAGTTTTACTAAGTCACTATGCAGCTCAGAGTGAGTTTAAACTTGTTATCCTCCTGCCTCAGCCTCCCAGAGTGCAGGGATGATTAAAGGCATGTGTGGCCACGTACGCTCTGAGAGGTTTTCCTTCTGTTCTGTCAAGAACTTAATCAAGAGTGGGTCTATTGGGCTGGGTGAGATGGCACATGCCTGTAATCCCAGCACTCAGGAGGCTGAGGCTGGAGGATTGCCGCAAGTTCAAGGCCAGCCTGGGCTACATAGTGAGTTCAGGGCAGCTGAAACTATATAGTGAGACCCTGTCTCAAAAAAAAAAAAAAAAAAAAGAGTGGGTCACTTTCTGACAAGAATCTGTCACCTCTTGGTCCTGGCCATGGCATTTAGGTCAACAGTACAAGCCACATCCTAGTACATGCAGAGTTGAGGTTACCACCCTCCTAGTGATTCTGCATATACATACAAGCATCTGGCAGCTTTATTAGGGGTCTCACCATAGTCAAGACCGAGAATTTTATATACAGTGGCCACCCTTCTCTGCAAGGGCTATGTCCCCAGACCCAGTAGATGCCAGAAACTGTGCATAGTATTGAACCCTAAGATTCTGTTTTTTCCTAAACATACTTATCTATTGTGAAGTCTAATTTACAGATTAGGCTCCTTAAGAACATTAACAACAGCTAATGAGAAAATAGAGCAATTATACCAGCTGTAAGAAAAATTTTGAGAATGTACCTCCCTGCCTTCTCTCTCTCCCCTACCACAGGGCAGGTAGTGTATACAGGGTGGATACACTGGGTCTTCCTCTGGGGAATGAGGTAGAATGATGTGAGATTTCACTGTACTGCTTGGAATAACACAAAATTTAAAATTTAGGAATTCAGTATTTCTTGGATTTTCCATTAATATTTTTGGACAACAAGTAACTGAAACCACAGAAAGTGAAACTAGGTAAAAGGAGACTACTGGAGTTTAATGATAAACTGCTTTCCTTTATTTTTTTCTCTCTGTTTTCCTCCTCTCTTTCTCTCTTTCTTTCTTATACAGGGCCTCGCTTTGTTGCCCAGGCTGGTCTTAAACTCCTGGATTCAAGTAATTCTGCCTCAGCCTCTCAAATACCTGGGATTACAGGTATATTGCACCACTGTGCCTGGTACTCCTTTTTATTTTGTGCACTATAATCTTTTAAATTTTATAATTTTCATAGTACCACCTTGGCATGGAAATGGGAGAATTAAAAATACTGGTAAAGAGCCAGTGACCTTGATAAGGAAGTTGTTATTAAGAGAGTGAAAAAACAAAACCCTGTTCCCTAAAGGTCACACAGCTGGGAGCTGAGCAGGGAGACCTGTGCACACGGCTGACTGACATCAAAGCCAGACTTGCCATGAGGACCCCTGTTTTCTCCAGACCAGGCCCCACCTGAGGAACAGCCATGACAGCTTATACCTGGTGCACCTGCAATGACATACCATCCCTAAGATCTGCGTGTGTCCCCTTCAGTCCAGTGTGGCCATGAGACAGTGCCGCGGGGTGGCGGCTCCTTCCTGTGAATGGGATGAGGGGATTGAAAAAGGGCTGCATCTGTGTCCAGCTCTCCTGTGCTGTCACCCTGTGCCATGTGAGGACCAGGTGCTCCTCCTGGAGAGGACACAGCATCCACGGCAGCATCTTGGAAGCAGAGTCTGTGTCGTCACCAGACCTTGAGCCTGCTGCACTAGATCTTGGGCTTCCAGAGCTATGAGGAATGAAATCCTGTTCTTTATAAATTACCCAGTCTCAGGTATTTTGTTATAGCAGCACAACATAGACTCAGACATTTAAATGTGTTATATCCACTAACTCTTTGACCCTCCCTACAAGGTGAGCGCTATTATTAGCCCCATTTGCAGATGAGAGAATTAATGCCCAGAGGGGTCAGTGCCCTGTCCATACACACACAGCTAAAGGGTAGCACAGCCGCAATGCTCCTTGACCAGCTGATCCTTTATTAATTTACTGCATCATGTCAGGGACAGTGCAGGGGGCCAGGCAAGCCCAGCGCGAGCATTTGGGCTATAGAAATGGACAAGAATGTCCCCTGATAGCTGCTGAGGCTACTTGGGTCCTCTGCAAATGTATGCAAATTGTGTATTAGCACATTATTCTAGGGAGCAAGTGCATGGGAGAATCCAAAGGCTCTCAAAGGGGTCCCTGACCGCACAAAAGCTGGAACCCCTGGTTCTCAGGGCCTGATGACAGGCAGGAGAGAGGCTCTCAACCTCTGCTCGGCACTGGGGTCTCAGGGCCTGGAATTCCCGGTGCCCTCAAGGCTGCGCGGCCCCTTGCGCTCATCGGCTTCTCCCTTTCAGGCGTCGCTTCATTTCAGTTTGCTCAGAAGCGGCACCAAACGTCACTGCTGTGAGTCGGGTTTTCCATGAGCTCAGCTGTTCAGCTGCATGCGGAGAACGGGAAGGCACCAGCGCGGGGAACAGGGGCTGAAGACCCTTGCAAGGGCAGGAAGCAGACCTGAGAGTTCTCGAGGTTTCTCTGCCCTGACAATCTGTCTTAGCTGTTTTGGGGGGTTTTGTTTTGTTTTGCTTTGTTTACACTGCTGAGACAAAAACACCTGACACAACTTTTTTGTTTGTTTGTTTGTTTTTTGTTTTGGGTTTTTTTTTGCTGGTATGGGGAACCAAACTCACGACCTTGCGCTTGCCGGGCAGGCGCTGTGCCCCTGAGCTAAATCCCCAGCCCCACTCACAGCTTAAAGGAGACAGCATTCTACTTTGGCTCACAGCCTGTGGAGGTTTCAGTCCAGCCGGCTGGCTCCAAGGCAGGGCGGCGTGGCCGAAGGCATCTCAGAGAAGAAACAGCCCATGGCAGGGCAGGCAGGAGGCAGCAAGAGAGCCTCCCTCCTCCCTTCGCCTTATAGTTCATCCGGGCTACAAGCCTATTGATGGATGCCACCCACACCCAGGGTAGGGCTTACATTATCCAAACCCAGAACTGTGCTAAACCAACTTAGTTATCAGACACCCTTAATCCCAGGACCACACACCCCAGATGCAGCCACCTGCAAAAAGTCTCACCCCTGAGCACACGAGTCTTTGGAAGGACCCTCTAAGGAGTTGGGACGGCGCAGCCCACGCGGCCGTCTCAGGGTCTGCTGTGCACGGGCGGCTTCTGAGGGAGACGCTGTCCTCGTCCCAGCCCGAAGGCCCTGGGAGGCCACCTCAAGCTTTGCTGGCAGTGCCTGCGCGTACCAGGGCTATCAATGTCATGCGCCCGCTGCTTCAGCCTCCAGCTCTGCTCCCGCTTGGTTTCACATCAGTCCGCAGCCAGGGATCAATCCTCAGTCCACGAGGGCAGGGTCGGTGAGGACGCGCCCCAGCTTCTTGCCTTGCCTGGGCAGGTCTGAGGTGTGTCTCATGGGGTCTCTGAAAAGCTCCTCTGGGCAGTAGCCAGCCTGGTGATGAGCCCTTCATCAGCGTCTCCAGTGTCCACGTGTCAACCCCCCATCCTTTACTGTGCTTCCTGAGGTCGCTATTGAAATATTTTATTATTTATTTATTTATTTATTTATTTATTTATTTATTTATTTTGTCATTTTGAGGTAGAGTCTATGCAATTCAGGCTGGCCTTGAGCTCACTTTGTAGCTCAGGCTGGTCTAGAACTCGCAATGATCCTCCTGCCTCAGCCTCCCAAATGCTGGGATTACAGGCCTGCGCCACCACACCCGGCTCACGATTGAGATAAATTATGCATGTCCAGGTCCTTGTGTGAAGGTTCTGTGTTAGGGGACCCCAAACTCAGACAACGCCCCCAGGGAGGTGATACACCCAGACAGACTCCCGCAGACTCTGTGTGGTGTCCTTCCAGGTGCCATGACCTTTATGGATGAATCTAACGTCCTTCTGATAACAGCCAGGAAGAGCATGGGTCCAAAGCCTTAAGTGGGAAATTCTATCTGACATTGAAAGAGCTGCATCCAGCGAGATCTCTATCATGGCGGACTCAAGGGGAAAAATTCCAGAAAGTCAACTTCTAAACGGGCCTTAGAAGAACAAACTTGCACAACTGGGCCTCCACGGGAGGCTGCGCTTTATGCCGTACACAAGGGAGAAAGTGGATTTGAATTCTGCCCACCAAACTGTGTACCCACATGAAAGGCCTAGGCTTTAAAATTTTATATAAAAGAGGTCCCTCATCCAGCTACCCCGTCTCCACCGGCTCTCAACAACAACAAAAATTAGGTAGGTTTCATCTTCTGCTCCAACATATCATTGCCAGCAACGTATTCTTTATAACCGATCTTGAATAAAAGCAACCTGAAGGCCTGGGCTGCTTGTTGTAATGGAATTTTCCACATGTGAAAAAGTCAGCACGACTTGTATTATTAATGGACTTTTATCCTTTTTTTCCACCAAGTTGACAGTTTTAGTGTCATGTTGGTACGATTTATTCTACTAAATGATTACAATACTCTGTGGCACAACTCTATCTTCCTTGTCTACACTGCCGATGTTTGTATCTTTGCCGTGTTTGTCCAGGCTTTAATGAGATTTGAACCTGCTTGCGTTGTGTTGAATTCGATTAACACACCGCCCCCACCCCCGTCGCCAGGGTCTCCCCTCCAGTCTTTGAGTGGAGCGGGCCCTGGTTATTTGGGCAAATGGGTGGTTATCCTCAGCAATAAAAATGAGCAAATAATGTGAAAGCACCCATACCTCAAAAAGCAGAGAGTGACCTCTATTTGACCTTGAGGTTGAAGCCAGCCAAGAGGAAAGTTCCCCAACAGACAAAACAAGCTGCGAGGCAGGGAGCGGGAGGAGAAGATTGCTTACTTTCTGATTACTTTGTTTAAACCAACCTCCTCTCCGGTTTATAATCCTTTACGGCAGCATATTAAGAGGGGGCAGCTTAAGATCTGTTTAGATCAGGGAAGAATCGTGAAATAAACAATTAATAGTTACGAAAGGGACCCAGAACCCTCTATTCGCTCCCCCTCCCCCAATTCAATGAATGAATAATGGCCTTGGGCGTGGCCCTAGGCTTCCCGAGCATTTATTTTTATTACCATCGGCTCTGTTCACGCCTTCCAGTCTTGTGGCATTTTGGGAAATCCACAATTAGGACAACTTGCTGGAATGAGTTTTGCAATCATTTCAGCGGGTGTGAATCAGCTAACAAATACAGGAATGTCCATTCCAGCAGAAGGGAAGCAAATTCAGGATGTACTTTTTATCCTGGCAGAGAGGACTTGGAATTTTTGTCTGGAGTGACTTTTTAAAATCAGTTAGCAATCCTTTCTCTCAGCCTAAGACTCTTCCACCCCAGCCCAACGTGTCATCCTACTGATCGCTTTTTGCTTGCCTGGGGCTGATCCCAGCTCCTCTTGCCCAGATCCCCTCCAAAGCTGCTTCTGTGTGGGAATCCTATTCACCCTCAAAGAGGAATTCAAATCCCCTTCTTAGGAAGCTTTCGCAGACTACGCTGGCCCCTTTCCTTCCTCTTCCAAGCTCCTCTGCAACCCGCTGCTTCCACTTCCCAAAATACTGTGATCTTTTCAAGCCTCTAAGTTCTTATTTCCCCAGGTAGACTCTAACTTCCTAAGGCAAAGATTATTATTTTTATTGGTATATATTTGTGATACACAGTAATTACATTCATTTCAGAGAATTGGTATATATTGATATCACATCTTAAAACATTTTTACTTCCCTCATCCCTCCTGGAGTTCCACTCTCCTCCCACCTCCGACCCCGTTCCATTTCTACAAAGTTTATCTCCCTGTTTCCTATCTTCTCTTTTATTTTGCTCTTTGTTTACATTTTGAGTTTCTTGTACAAGAGAAACGATGAGCCATTTAACCATCTGGGACTGATTTATTTCATTATGTCCTCAGGATGCATCCATTTTCCTACAAATGACTCAAGTTTATCCTTTTTAGGGCTGAGTAGTACTCCACTGTGTATGTATACATTTTTTATCCATTCATCTGTAAGGCAGAAGTACAAGTAACACATTCCTCTGCACTGCTTAGTAACGGAACCCCAGTTAATCAGATTGGCAATCAATCACAGAAGAACTGCACTTTCTCACTTGTCAAATATGGCAGTATGGTTGAATTCTGATCAGTAAGACATCAGGAGAGATGTTTTTCTGGAACTTATTCAGCTGGAAGTCTGGACAACTTGTCCTGTCCTCTGTCTGCCTGTCTTCTGCCTGGGGTGAAGAGGGGATAGCTAGAGCTGGGAAAGCCCGTCTCGGGACTATGAGATGACCTTCAGCTAAGGGTAATGAAGTAGAAAGGTAAAAGAAAGTCAGCATCCAATGACTCTATGCAGCTACTATTCCATCCCTGAACTATCTCCTCTAGACCTCTATCCTGTTTTAAAAAAAAAAAAATTGTTTTTTACAGTACTGGAGATTGAGCCCAGGCTTTTCACACAGAGCTACATCCCCAGACCATTTTTCACTTTTTATTTCTGAGACAGCGTTTTACTAAGTACTAAATTGCCCAGGCTGGGCTCAGACCTGCAATCCGGCCTCAGCCTCCCAGGGTGCTGGGATTACAGGCATGTGCTGCCATATCTGGCTAAAAAAGTAAACCTTTTAAATTTACACCTTTGCTGTTTCATACAGTGAAATCCACATCTTCTCCCGGGCATGGCTTCTAAAGGACAGATCAGCATCTCAATCATTATATCCCCAGCAGCGCCTGACACGGTACGTGCTAAATTCTAAACAGCTAATTTGTTAAAACTTGGAATATTTTCCTTCTGGTCCATGAGAGGGCTCATCCTGGTTAATAATAGAATTCCCCTTTTTTTCAAATTATGCCCGTTGATCTTATGTCCCAATTGCAAAAGCTGATACTCTTACTTTTTTGAAATCTAGAAAAAGTGCCACAAGCTCTCCCATCGTGGTTGATTTGGAAAGAATCCCGAAGCTTCTGCCACCCAAAGCAGGAACAGAAGGAAACCAACCCTGATGGTCACAGCTCCCTGAAGCATGGAGACAGGGTGATATTGAAAGACGGCAGCTCAACCTCTAATCTCCTAAATGCCAGCTACACATCCGCTCCTTAGTGCCAGGGTGAAAACGGTGGGTTCTGACTCCTCTGCCTTCCAGATCTGTGAATGACTTCCACCGGCAGAACCCTTCTGGAGAAAGATCTGGCAAAGTGTAGTTCTTACACTTCTAACGAACACACCAGTTAGGACGCCTCTTTGCCTAATGATAAAAGTAACCCGAATTTAGATTAGGTTACTAATTCCTAATTAGGAAAACTAATTCCTGGGGCTGGGGATTTAGCTCAGCGGCAAAGTGCCTGCCTGGCAAGCGCAAGGTCATGAGTTCGATTCCTGATACCGGGAGAAAAGACAAAACAAAACAAAACAAAACAATTCCTAATTCAGGAAAGGCATCGGTTCTCATAGCTAAAATTCTAGTTCTGCTGTTTGTTTATTTATTTGGTCTTTTTTGAGATAGGGTCTCATTATGCAGTTGAGGCTGGCCTTGAGCTCACTTTGTAGCCCAGGTTGGTCTCGAACTCACAACGATCCTCCTGCCTCAGCCTCCCGAGTGGTGGGATTACAGGCATGTGCCACCATACCCAGCTCTAGATCTATTGTTTCCCTGCACTTCTTTTGATACTGAGTTTAAAGTGTTCTAGGTCTTTCCCCATTCCCAACTCCTGGAAAAGTTTATCTCCAGGCCCCAGAATGATTGCAGCACGTCTGTGTCTCCAGCAATTTCTTTTTTTTGTTTTTGTTTTTTTTCCAGTATCAGGAATCGAACTCATGACCTTGCACTTGCCAGGCAGGCGCTGTGCCGCTGAGCTAAATCCCCAGCCCCATCCAGCAATTTCTTATCAAATGTAAAACCCACTTACATGCCTCAGTCATTCATTCACAAGTCCAACACAGAAGTTCTGGAAACCAAAGGGTTTTTCCTTAGTTTGATACAAACACCGAACTGACCTGACCTGACCATTGTAAGACTATTTATCATATATATGCATTCTACTTAGGGTGATAGCCACAGGTTTTTCCACAGAACAATTGTTTGATGACAGGGAATTTCCCCACCTCTCAGAGGGTACCGTGTACTAGTTGGCATAATGGTTTCATAAGTTTATAGTGGAGAGGACAGATTCCTGTTGCCTGGTGACATTGCTTCTCTTACTATTTGTGATATTCATTTTTATTACCGTATATGCGATGCAGATCTTGTCTTCTAGCCCGTGATTTCTTTTCATTTTGGCTTTGGTGGGTTTTACAAGAATAAGGTTTTTATTTGTAAGTAGTACTCTTTCCTGTAAGGCTTTTGGGGTGTGGTGTACGAGTGTGCTTTACTTTAGAAAATTTTTTCTAACCCTGGGTTGTAAACATTTGCCTATATTTTTTCCGTATGAGTATGTGTGCATGTTCGTGTGTGAGTGCATGTGTGTGCTTCGTATTACAGGCTCTGCCTGCCTCAGTGGTCATAAATATTTGCCTGTATTTTCATATTTTATAGCTTTGGAGTTTTTAAAATTTACCCCTTTAATCCATCTGGAATTTATCTTGAGAATAACAAATGGTAGAGATGTAGCTTTCATTTCTCCCAAGCATATAGTATTTATTAATAAATTTATAATACTAAATATTTAACAAATTAATGAATACTGTGTTAATACATAGTATTATTCCAACACTATGCCAATATTATATGCTAATATTCCTTTTTATGAATAGACTGATCTGTTTCTCCATTCTGCCCCCATTAATCTATTATCTATTTTTGCACCCAAGCCATGCAGTTTTAACTCTTAGTATGATAAAATATTTTGATATTTGACATGGCAGTGCTACGCTAATATCTGTTTCTAGTGGAGGAGAAGGCCAGTAACCCTAATACTGTTCTTGCTGAAAAACAAGGAAAATGCTAGACAAAACAGTTTTGTTTCCAATGTAAAAATGAAATTTTTTAAATGAGTTGGCCCAAAGGTCACGAAATGTTACATAAGCAAAGGAACGGCATCTTTTATGAACCTGGGTTTCCATTTCTGCGGTCCTACAAGACCAAGAGCAGAGGGTTTCTTCCAGCATGGGGGAGATAAACAGGAGACTCCCCCCGCCAAAAAAAAAAACCAGCTAACACACCAGAAGATGAAGTTGCAAAGCCCAGCCCTCAAAAAGTATGGTTAAAAAAAAAAAAAAACCTGCTGCTTCAGTCTTGGTGGTGGTTAGGAGGCAAAATAAAAATATCACCTGAAAACATAGAACCACGAGCTGACCTTCACACTGGTTTGTGACCCAATTCACACGGCTCGTGTTTTCTGAGAAACCTCAGTTGGGCCACTTATTTTTAAGTGATTCCAGAGTGAATATAACATCTATACCCAAGACCAGCAAAGATTACACAAAGGAAACTATAACCAATCTAAGTTACAAATATCAACACCAAAATATCAATTATAATGTTAACAAGTAGAATAAGAGGTACATTTAAAATAATAACTATGGTCTTTATTCTATGAATGAAAAGATGTTTCAATATTAGAAATCTATCTATATTTATATGTCTGAAAAGAAAATATGGTCTCAATTGATACTGATAATAATGTGGAAAAAATAAAAGGCCTTTCTTGATCTTAAAAAAAATCTCATAAGCCAGATATGGTGACTCACGCCTGTAATTCCAGTACTCAGGAGGCTGAGGCAGGAGGATTACTTTGAGTTGAAGGCTACATGGACTACCTGTGAGTTCATATGGCCAGCCTGAACTACACAGTGAGACTCTGTCTCAAAACAACAACAACAAAAAGAACTCATTAGCTATAAGTACACAAGAAGCTCCCTAATGTCTATTTATCAGTCCAGCAGCCAGCGTCCATCTTAATGGAGGAAAATGGAGTTGTTTGTACAAAAGTAAGAAGTAAGACAAAGATCCGACCTCCCTCATAGTCAGTATTGTCCCGAGGACATTAACAAATGCAACTCAACAAGATAAAGTAAGAGAACTGTAAAAGAAGTCAAGTGTGTTGGTACACATCTGTAATCCCAGCAATTGGGAGGCTGAGGCAGGAAGACTGCTGTGAGTTCAAGTCCAGCCTGGGCTGCATAGTAGTGAGTTCAAGGCCAGCCTGAACTGCATAAGTAGACCTCTTGTCTCAAAAAAAAATTGTAAAAGGGATGCTAAAACTCTATTTTCCAAATAGAATTATTTTTATATTTAAGAGAATCAACTGAAAGTTACTACAAATAAAAAGAAAATCCAGTAAACTGCAGAGTATAAAGTTAATATAGGACAGTGAATAACTTCCTTGTATAAAACACACTAGCTAAGGGGCTGGGAATTTAGCTCAGCGGTACAGCACCTGACTGGCAAGCGCAAGGTCATGAGTTCGATTCCTGGTACCAGAAAAAAACAAAACAAAAAAATAAATAAAAACAAACCATACTAGCTAAAATAGCTTAGGGGGAAAGAAAACCACATTTGCAACAGCAGGAGCAACAACAACACCAAAGAAATAAACTGCTTAAGAATAAACTTAAGAGATTTCCAGTATCCTGACAGAGAACATTTCAAAGCACTACTGCGGGACACGACGGAACACATACACCCCGTCCGAAAGAAATAGAACTGAAAGACAGGCCCTAGTCTCCGATGTTACCACATTTCACAAAAACATCTGTTCTCTACAAGTCAGTTTTAAAATTTAACCTTATCTAAAACAAACAAACCAACCTCATCTTATTAAGTTACCGTTCTCCCCCATGCCAATAACAGCTAAGTTGTTTCTAAATTTATTTAGCAAATCAATAAGCAAGAGTAACTCCAGAAACTCTGAAAACAACATTGCTAGGTGACACAGCTATCCGCATCAGATAGCGAAACACACCCAAGCTTCCATTTGTGAAAGCAGCGCAACGATGGTGCATAGGGAGGTGGTGGAATTGTAGCAGTACAGCTATGGCCAGAAACAGGCGGCAGCTCACCTTGGAGCAGAAAGTAAGTTGTGTGAAACAACAGGCCTGGGAGAGGTAAAACTGAATCTATGGCTCTCACGCTGTATCGCAATACAGGAAAATGTATTTTAAAATCCTAGTATTTTTAACAGCTGGGCGTGGTGGAGCACGCCTGTAATCCCAGCACTCTGGAGGCTGAGGCAGAAGGATCTTTGCAAGTCGGAGGCCAGCCTGGGCTACAAAGTGAGCTCATGGCCAGTCTGAACTGCATAGTGAGACAGTGTCTCAAAAAAAAAAAAAAAAATTCCTAGTATTTTTAAAAAGGCAAGTATAGGAAAACATAAGCAAATTTCTTCAGGACTCAAGCCACAGAAGATGCATATAAAGTGGTTAGTAATTTTAACTACATAAAAAATTTAAATGCATGAAAATGTAGGCCACAGCAATGTGGAAAGACAAAGTATCAACTGAGAAACTATATTTGCAGCTTATACCACTGGCAAAGGACTGATTATCCAAATATATAAATTATAATGAATAAATAGGGAAAGGACCAATATTCATCCATAATTTTAAAGAAAAATTAGCAAAGGACTTGAAGAGAAAGTTCACAGAAAAAGCTATACAAAGGCTGTATGTATAGAAAAGGAAACTAAACTTCTCTCATAATAAGAAAATTGTGCAGGGCGTGGTGGCACATGCCTGTATTCCCAGCACTCAGGAGGCTGAGGCAGGAGGACTGCTGCAAGTCTGAGGCCAGCCTGGGCTACCTAATGAGTTCAAGGGTAGCCTGAACTCTACAGCGAGACCCTGCCTCAAAAAAGAAAATTGCAAATTGAAACTAAACTGAGATACTTATTGGAGGAGGACGATCCAAGAATTGAACAGCACATGCTATGAAAAAGGCTATGGAAAGCAGGTAATTTCATATATTACTAGCAGGAGTAAAATTTGAAATAATCGTGATAGAAGACAATTGGTAATATTTCCTAAATTTACAGTGCATTTAACTTTTGATCTGCTATTTTACTTCTGGAAATTTTAGCTCTTTCCCCCGCATGCCAACAAAATGATGTATGTACAGGTAATTTGTCATTGCAATATTGTCTGCAGTACAAAAAGATTGGAAATAACCAAAATTCCCATCCATAAGGAACTGATTCAATAAACTATGCTATATTTACAAAACTGCTATAAACAAATAGGAAGCTTTTTTTTTTGGTATGGATATAGAAAGATGTTCAGGTTCTACTTTAAGTTACAAAAAGGGGAGCGTAGAAGAGTAACGTAATTTTCTAACATTTATGCAAGCACAAGATCAAGCGATCTATATTGTTATTTGCTGGTATCTGCGTAAAGAAATACTAGAAGTATTCAAAAGCAGCTAATAAAAATGCTTAATTAATAGGAAGAATAGTGACAGGAGAAGGAGAAAGATTTGACCAATGTTGGATTTTGTAGGCTAAGCTTGGTTATTCTGAGTAGCAAACACATCAAAATCTCAGCAGTCTAACCACTAAGATTTTTTTCTTCTCTCTACTAAATGCCC